CCGCGCGGCCGTTTTGGAATTCCTGGAGGGTAACCTCGCGAGCCAGTATTCTCAAGAGGCAGCCGTCGTCATGCGCATGGTTGGCGATCAGGCTAAAGACTTCGAAGGGGTTATGAACACTATACGCATTCTGTATTGTATTCTCTAATTAGGCTTCAGAAGGCCAACATGAATGCGTGGGAGGTAGGACGCGCACCGTGTGCGTATATCTTAGTCTGAATTATACCTTTCGTAACCGTGTGTCTACTATAGGTTCATTTACACTTTCAACACGCGGATCGTGCTTTGAAGGACCTCATCGATGACCTAGACTCGGAAGCTGCAAAAGCATTCGCTGCGCTCTTCCGCAAGCGCTTGCGCTTCCGAATCTTTTCAGTGAAGGCTGCACAGGAGGCACGAGCTCACGATTTCAGGCTCTTGAACCCCGAGTCGGAAGTCGCCGGTTACCCACGAGCCGTAAGCGTTTTCTCCAAGAAACTAACTGCGAGGGCGGCACGCAGTCATTGAAAGCTACATTCCCGCCACTATGACTGTTCAGAAGAGACATTTGTAAGGGCCTTGAAGAAGTCCAACCGCCGGCTTGCCAAAAGTGCTCATGTTAGAAATATCCACGATGAACCCACCCTGCTTTAAATTGAGCTGGGCGAGAGACCGAATAATCTGCTCTTCAATATCTATAAGTTGGTTCTCGAAATTGAATCCGCTGTTTCTGTCGACTCTTGTGAGCCGGAGCGGGGTGTCAGTGCGCTGCAGCGCACACGCTCGAAACTTTCGAGTCGAAACCAAGAAACCGTCTCAAAAGCAAGCATATTGACGCGGCAATGTCTCTCTCTATAAATGAGGCCCCAGATTGTATAGACGTGGTGAATGTCTGACCGACCCTGAAGCCCAGAAGGAAAAAGTGATTAAAAAGAGGTTAGGGAAAAGAGACAGGAAAGGTGCTGCCATTCCGATACTCTCCGACGAGGGAGATTTTGTTTATGACGATGTATTATTCGAAGGCAAGAGAGGTCAGAATGATCAAGAGTCGGAAGATGAAGAAGAGTCGGAAGACCTCAGTACTACTGAGATCTTAAACCCTAGCTTCGTGTAGGTACCTCTGAGTCAAAGGTACCCATTCTCGTACATAGCGTCACACAAGACTAGCGTCGCTAGTCCAGCGAGACAAGGCAGTTGTGCAAAAGGAGTGCATCGCACTTCCGATATTGTGGAGCTCAACTGAGGCGTATTCTATATCTGTCAATGGACTACAGGAGAAACTTGTAGTTTGCATGAACGAAAAAACCGTGTTAATTGAATGAAGAAAGTGAGGAACTGATCCACATGAACCAACGCTCGGCGCACATCTCCGAAATGTCTAGAACAATTAACTTCTCGCTGTAGCCAGTGTAAAGACCGGAGACCTACAGTGGATGTCAGTGAAAGTAGGTAGGAAAAGTAGGATAAAAGTGAAAGTAGGATGTCAGTAGGTAGAGATCCACCTACAGTGGAGGCAGTTTTCAGAAGAGGTTTTCAGCATTACGACGTTCCAAACGTTCTTAAAAATATTATCCGGAACGAAGAGTGTCTATGGATTGAGTGCGAGTGAAGCGAGGTACATATGAGTATGCGTTGTTGTTGTACAAGAAATCATTGCACAGAAGGTAGAGTGTAACTGTATTGGTCAACTGATACTTTTAGTATCTACTCAACGTGGGACTGCTCGTAGAGTTTTGCGGGATCCCTAAAACTGTCCTTGGGACTTATGAGCGGACCTCCCTTATTCATTCTTCTCTTAAATTTTTTTGAACGATTTCCCAATCTCCTTCCATAACTCGGTAAAATCGAAACAACTGAGGAGAATATCTACTGACCATACTCCGATTACTCGAGCGATGCCACGAAGCCGGACTGAAGGTAAAGGAGTGGCATCCGCCGAATCGACCCGATGAAATAATGGTTCGTTACTAACGGGCCGGTAGAAGAAATTTACCCGAACAGGCTGTTCGGGTTCGGAACAGCGACAACTCCTGCTATGCAACTCTCGCATTGTGGAGGAAATACCCGCTACAATGCGGGAATAAGATAGTACTGTCCAATGCCTCGAGACAAGGTTCTAACGAACGCAAACCATGTGAAGGAAAAACGTGAACGAAAAAATGTGAACATCTGCCGTAATACACGTCCGCGCAAGCCACTAGCCAGATCGTGCAAACACCCGAAGCTCGAGATGTTGAGGTCCATATGTGAATTTCACCTCGCCACTAATACTTGCAGCGGGACAATTCAATGACATAGAACCAAAATTTCTCAGGAGTAGAGACAAGATTACCACAGCCTCCTTGATGGCCATGTTCTGTCCAGGGCATTGACGAGGCCCTCCACCAAATGCTAGATGATCACGTACACGGGCCTGGTCTATCGAGGAGCCGTCAGGAAGGAGCCAACGCTCGGGACTGAGATGGACGACATCCCGGGATGAAGTGGAAAGGAAGTTATATACTCGAAGTTTTTGCCGCCTTGAGCCTCCGTAATCATAGCCTTGTGAAGAAGGGTCGTGACCTTCGTCCCGGAAGGGATTCGGTGGCCATTAAGCTCCGTGTCATGAGTGCACTCATTGAGAAGGAGCACACCCGGGGGTTGCAACTGAGAACCGGCCCAGGATCTCCCACTCGATTTGCCAGGGACTCACCCTGAGGGCCTCGAGTATACAACACTTGACATAAACTAGCTCGTCCAGATCCTCTATCGTATCGGGATCATGCCCAAGGCCATCCACCTCGGCCCTGGCCTTGTCCTGTACTCCAGGGTATAGGGCCAAATAGTAGAGACACCAGGCGACAGTCATGGCGGTAGTGTCGCTACCAGCAATGAGGAACCTGGCAACTCGAGTTAATATAAATCAAGACGCTAGGAGTCCTAGCCTAGGACTCGGAGTCTATACTTCCGTCGACTCGTACAACTGTCGGGTATCAGACTGGAAGTACGAGGACTTACGTTATAAGGTTCCCTCGCAGGTCCACTTCATCGAGATGCAGAAGTTTGTCCAGCAAATCATGCTTTTCCGCTCGTTCTCCCGCGTCTCGCTCCGCCCGCCGTTTTTCGATGATCTCATCACATATTCTGCTCAGCTGCTTCGCCCCAGAGTGCATCTAACAATGATAAGCGAACGACGACGTAATCGTCGGGTGAAGTGTCTACCTTTTTGATCATCGGATTAAGATTCCACGGGAACCTATCCCGTGTCATCCATGGTATAGCACTGCATTGTGCAGCGTAACCCGAGCCTTCCAATAACTCGTCCATCGCTAGCTGGAGCTCTCCGGATTGTCGTCCGAGTGGCACGCCTGCCAACGAGCGAACAATAACACCTCGATAGTATCGCCACTGAGACGGTATTACCGTCCCAGTAGCGGAATCGCATTTCACACCACCGGGGTCAGTTTTATATACTCTATCGGCTGAGATGTCATCACGAGAATGGAGATCATTGATAATAGTGGGTTGAATCCACTGAATTCTCGTACACTCTGCACCAATTCAAGGTCTCGATATCGAAATTCAAAGCGAGGATAACTTCATTAAACTTTGAGTTAGTAGATAGGGACTCTATCATAGGGCGTTCGTCGAACATAAGCTCAACTCGTTGCTCACCATCTGGATTCACGAAATTATAATCCTTCCCGAGAGTGGTGACACATAAGATATCCAAAGTGCAGAGGGGAAGCCATTCTGTGGGGCGCCATACGATGACACCATCTTGACTGAGGGACTTCAACTGTCGTATCTGCGGTGCAGCTTTTGCACAACGGGACCTAAGGGATGGCAATCCAGACTTTACCAGCCTCAAGGCCACTTTGGACATATCGGGAATCATAGCCGATGAGTTGATGTCGTTGAATGCCGGCGCACCCAATCGTCTGTTCCGCTTCCACACTTCACCTTCTGTGTTAAACATACCTTCCATCGGCATAATCCTGTGTTTATTGAAGGGTTTTATGTAGGTCCTCGGACGTGCATTCAGAACTTGTCGAATAAGCTCAGGATCAGATACGACTATCACGTCCCCGCCGATGATTCTGAGAAGGCAAAATATAGAGTAGGTGAATTAGTCCGCACAGTATTGAACTGTTCCTGACCTCATGTTGTATACATCGCCATACGTATCAGCGTAGATCTCCAATGCATGACAGAGGTGATCCACTGACTTCGGGATGAAACCAAGGACCGGGAGGAACTAACGAAAGCCGAAATGTTTGCATCTTATAAATTGCGAAGGGCCAGCCGATCTCACATGGTTTGGTCCACCGAAGAGTGCATGGAGGTCCACCCTGGTACGCTTCATGAGCTTAAGAGCCTTCAAGGCGATTAATGAGGCCACACCAGTGACGATGATCAGAGTGCCGTGCGACCGGAAGAGCGATCGGCACTTCACCATGAGGTCCTGAACACCATGGAGGACGGGTTCCATTTTTAGTATCCAAAAAGAGCTCCGGAGGCTAAGGGGTGTGAATACCTCGAAGCACGAAGCACCACGAAAGCTCACCCCTATCCGGGGAGGGATGGGCGGGTCAAGAAAATGGAATTCTTGGAAGTTAGAGTCCACCAGGCTCGGAAAACATTTGACACCCGAGATAGGTCCAGTGACTGGACTCCAGTCCAGAGGCCCCATCCTGATTCACGTCCCGTGACATAAGGAATGCACGCATGTGCATCGCGATGCGAGGCTAGATCAGACACGTTCTTCCACAGATGAGCAGAGCCTATCGGGGTATAGAGAACGAAATGCGGCCTTAGTTACTCAAGCTTGGTGAGGTTTACTAACTAGCTGCTTGGCAACGGCTCAGCACAGCTAGCGCTCCCTGGAAGTAGTAACGGCGCTCCAACCAGAGGAGCGCGATTTTACTCGTCAGTGACATGGTTCTTGTATGCTTGCGCTTGCGTGCATGATGCTTGCATTGTACTTTCTCGTCTTTTCTCCACCATTCCTTCATCATTTCTCCGTTGTCTAGAGGGAATCTATCGATTCTGAAGATTTGTATAGATGCCTCCTTGAGGTGGAGCACTGGCCTACTTCCCGAGAAGGTCCTTCTCAGAAGGAGAGTATTGTTGACAATGGAGATGTTGAAACTCCGTTCCATAGGAGTCCAACATTCAATAATCGACTATGCCACCGCCCAAAGATATGCATTAACAGCACAATCAATTCGCATGAGCGCCGCGAGACTACCGGAATCCCACTTTCTCCTTACCCCATTTGGAGAAACAGTATATACCGCCTCAAATAGAGAAAATCTCGCTAGAAGTGACACATTTCACTGAAATTATAATACTTGGCTATTGGCTACTTGGCTATAATCGTGCGTCAAAATCTCACATTTATTCCCGCTTATTAATTCTAAACGCCTTCCAACACTCCAATTCTACTCTTTTCAATGCATCCCTAAACCTACATCGTGCGTAATTTCATCACGTTTTCTTGCACTTTTTGCAGTTAGACGATTTGTGTACTCACGCAGTTCGTGCAAATTTACAACCATTTGGCGGTCGTATGGGAGTACTCCTCTACTCGAACGAAACCTCCAATTATTACTTCACACTGTGGAGTCCACGCTTTACTTTCATAACAAACCAGGTGCAAAAAGCATGCATGAAATGCACTACAACATCCCCCTCCGTAGGAGCTAGAGATTCCCCGGAGCGAAGCGACGCGAGCTGCTGTGAGGATATCCAGTCGGTTAGATATACTCGGGGGTTGGAGTCACTTAAGAACTCAAGTCAGGAAGGGGTAGTGTAGGGTTAGCTACGGTGGAAGGTAGAAGGAACTCAGCAGAAGTACACAAGACTTGATAGTCCGTAGTACAAAGACTCGAAAGTTCTTCCTGGAATTCCACAATGAGCAAAGAATTAGCTACAGATTAAAGGCGAGCAAGTCTACTCTGTTCCTTACGGGAACAAGAAGGTAGACAGTCCCGGAGGTCACGCGAGACAAAGGCCAAGGTAACTCTAGCTCAGGAGTGAGCTAAGGAAAGTCCATGGCAAGTACTCAAGTAGTCCAAGCGAACACCATACGCAACGTAGTGGCGTAGACAATAGTGGACGAGTCAGGCCCAGAGAGGGATTGTGCGAGTGCTCCAGGAGCACAAGACACACACGTGAAACGACAAACCAGGTCACATCACACTGCTAGTTTGCTTCGCAGGGGGAGGAAGATGATGTTATGATGACATCATGTGATTCACATGTGATGATGATCTGTTGTGCATGTCATGCAATTGGTAAGGCATTGTGTACTGGCAAACGAGACAACAAATGGAATGGGCTCCAAATGCAATCGATTATCTGGGTGCGCGCTATTTGTAACACATTGTAAGGACGCAGAGAGTCCAAGATGTCGGAATTGCTTACAACTGATAGCAGCAAAAACAGGTGGTCAGGACAGCCTAGTACAACTTGTGAAACGTCCTCCAGCGTCTCGCTTTGAGCCGTCAATGAACAGTGGGAAGCACGGAACAAAGTGAATCGCTGACCTCCTTTCCCGAATAACCTGTGGCCCGTACGCCACGGTCGGGAAAGGATCAGACGTTAGCTCTGACCAGCCCCCAAACCCGCGGCCCGTACGCCGTAGATTGGGTGAGGGTCAGCCTTGTTAGCCGGCCCGATCAAGGCTGGGCTGCCATCTTCGACCAAGCCAACTCGGTTTGTGTCGACGATAACATACGAGGTGATTTCATCGGTGAGCAACCTATCCAGACCCTAGGGCGGGAGGTGGGAAGAGAAATCTATGGACCGAACGGTCCCATTTTCCAACGAGGCTTCGAACAAAATCGATCACGCTACGTGATGAGCGAGCGCCCTGACCGGGCGTAGCCGGCTCAAATCCACTTGGAGGCATTTCACCGCGGTGGAAACCAAGTTGCATTTGATTTTCACCTAGCATCTTACCGAGGAAGCTGGTTGGTCAACTGGCAGAAGTGGTCCATTCTCAACTTGGTCATCGATCGTACCCGTCAACCTTCGGTAAAGTTGTCCAAATCGAATAGTGTCCACGGATTTCGTCAGATTGTACGGGAGGGCGTGGTCTTACACACCGCGACGAAGGCGTCTAATACATGGCAATCAGCAGGACCCATACCGCTACCGGAATACACCTTCCAAGTAGTGGGTGTCGACCTGTATAGGCCCTTACGGCGGCCAGGATCCACGACGAGCGAGACAGAAGGGAGACTGCCCATGCTTTAAACATCGTGGACAGATTAACAGGTTACAGTGTAACCGTTACACCACATTCCGACTTCTACCAGATGCGAGGTCAAGAACAGTTGCCGAGGAAGTCAAACGCAGCTGCTTCGCTCCCGAATGCGTAGAAAAAAAAGTCGAGCGACGACTTCATCGTTGGGTGAGGTGTACCTAACCTATGAGATATCCAGAGTGCAGAGGGGAAGCCATTCTGTAGGGCACCAGGCGATGACACCATGTTGAGTCAGCATTGTCGACTGAGGGACTTCAACTGTCTTATCTGCGGTGCAGGCTTTGCACAATGTGACCTAAGGGATGGCAATCCAGACTTTACCAGCCTCAAAGCAACTTCAGACGTATCGGGAATCATAGCCGATGAGTTAATGTCGTTGAATGCCGGCGAACGGTTAGCCGAGAACCCAATCGTCTGTTCCGCTTCCACATTTCCCCTTCTATGTTAAACACACCGTCCACGGGTACAATCTTGCGTTTATAGGAGGTCTTTATGTAGGTCTTTGAGCGTGCGTTCAGAGCTTGTCGAACAAGATCAGGATCGGATACGACAATCATGTTTCCACCGATGAATCTAAGGAGAGAAAATGCTCAACTCCCGCATATTCGACAGTATTCGTGTGTTCCTTATCTCATGTGGTACACACCACCATACTATGGTGACCATAGGTATCAGCGTAGAGCTCCGAGGCGTAGCAGAGGTGATCCACTGACTTCGGGATGAAGTCGAGGACCGGAGGAAGCTAACGAAGCCCAAAAGATCTTATGAATATAATAGCGAAAGCCAAATTCACCTGATTTAGTCCACCAAAGGCTCTTTGGCAAAGAGTGCATGGAGGTCCACCCCGGTACGCTGCATGAGCTTGCGAGCCTCCAAGGCGATTAATGAGGCCACACCAGTGACGATGCTCAGAGTGCCGTGCGACTGGAAGAGCGATCGGCACTTAATGATGGCGTGCTGGGCGTTGGCGTTTTGCGGTACCAAATGAGAACCGTTCTCACGTGTTGATGTTCCTACGTGCGACAAAGAAGTTACGATCATTTCGAAATCGAAATTCCTAAGTCTCTTTGTCGAAATTGGAGTTCCTAAATCAACGCGCCAACGAAATTGATGTTCCTAGAGCGATATGTTGACGAAATTGGAGTTCCCTTAACCGCGCACCGTCGAAATTGGAGTTTCAATAGGGGTATCTTGGGGCGAACTCGCTCGCCTGATGAAATTGAAGTTTTTAGTGTTGAAATAGAGTATGAAAAGGTGTATTCCAACAAGTAAGAACTCAGATAGGGGGTATAGTTGAGCATATGATCATAATTCCAACTTTTTTCTCTCTTCGGCTAACGAGATGTTCGGAGCGACCGAATTACGTCAGGATTACACCCATTACATATGGATCAGTCTCAGGAACCTGACCTCCATGACATTCTGACATCAGTCCTCGGACGTGCATTCAGAACTTGTCCTGAGCCTATTCGACAAGTCTTCCTCACCTGATGTGGTGTACATCACCGTACGTATCAGCGTAGACTTCAATGCGTGGAAAAGAATCTTTTCATAAGATGATCCACTTACTTCGGGAACTAGCAACCCGGAAGGAACTAACAAAAACTAAAAGGTTTGCGCCTCATGAATTGAGAAGCGCAAACTGAACTCACCTGATTCGGTCCACCAAATATTGCCTCGGAGTCCGTCTTGGTTCGCTGCATGAGCTTAAGGGCCTTTAAGGCGACTAGTGAGGCAGCCTCACTGAGGCTACGCCGGTGGCGATGATCAGACTACCGTGCGATTGGAAGAGTGATCGGCACTTCACCATGAGCTCCTGGACACCACGATAGATGAATTCCATTTGATATCTAGTGCCTGTTATCTAGCAGCTAGATAACGGGATGCTGAGGGAATGAGGATCTTGAGGGAGACGGAAGAGCCTTCTTCCAAAAAGATGAACCTTGGTCGTGTGTGTGTTTTTGAAGAATACTGAAGTTTAAGAGCTTTCGAGTTATAACCAGTTGTAGACTATAAGGCTTAAAGTACGAGCACAAGAATTGGCGATATCTCTAGCATAGAGTTGTCCTCCAATGCTTGGTCCTCATCGGGAGATCACTTCTCTCATTCATGCAATTGTCACTCATATCCACTAGATGGATAACCAGATTGAGGCCGCGTAGTCCTCTGTCATAGCCGCCGCATTTGGTGATGGCCCATACCGGATATCGACGAGCCGCCTGCCTTATCCTGTGGCGGCAGTTGATTTGATTGTCATCAGTTTATTGCGACCAGGAGTTCGATAGACGTAGAGGACACCTTGAGAAGTGTTTTAGTACTCTGAATGAGATGCATGAGAAGGCAACTCGAGTGGGAAGGGGAATTATTATTCCGTTCACTATTCGGGAAGCTACTGTAGATGCTAAGAAAATTATGCGTGTACCCTCTTTTAAGGTTTATATCTACGAATACTGCAGAAGTAATGGGAGTAATGCAGGACAATGTGACGTTGATTGAAGAAATCAACAATCTACGGAGGAAAATCACTCTTGAAGGACGAGTGAGCTGCAGAGGAGCGACTGAGTTTGTCTGAAATCTCAGAGATGCCTGGATCGACAATTGTGCACAAATCTACTGAGAAGACCCAGGACTCCTGGGCCAGGAGGCTGACGTGGAGCGCAAGGCCCACAATATATTGTCTGATATCGAACCCTTTTATGGCATCATTACTGTAGCTTCACATTTCGATGATGAGTCATAGATTTTTACTGACTAAGGTCGATGATTGCTTCGGCTCGAACGAGACGACTCTCGTATCAAACCCACCGACGATGTCGTATGCTTGGTGAAATCAAGCGAACATCTTATCCCATTCCTTAACTCTACATTTGATTGCCTGGACGGGGAGACCGATGTTGCGAAGAGAAGAACACGACCGTAGAATAAAAGAATAGTCACTTGCCATTTCCGAAAAGAAGTCCGAGATAGTGTTACAGGATGAAGGATAGCGTGCGAACAATTAACGTCAATCGGGCAAACAGAGCACGTTACTCGGTATGTTGTTCGCATATCCAATACCCGTTTTCTATCGAAAAGAAACTCTAGTGCCTAAAGCAAATCGAAGTATACTGTTGGTATTCTATCGTCTATCCAACCCAACTACACGTGAAGTAGAGAGGCACCAGTGAAGTGAGGTGTGAAAAAATCACTAAGAGTAATAACCCCGTCCTTGGTCGGGTATATCTCCTAGGGACACTTGCCAGGCGTGAGCTGCCTCGATTTTCCTCCAATAGACGCCTCGAGAGACTCGAATCCTCTGAGGACTTTGTAGGTGATCTGTTTCATGTCTCCCTTCTGCATCTTGAGAACATCATGACACCCTGTTTTACTCCACTCATAGAATTCGTCATACTCCGCCTTAGTCTTAGCATCCGCGGTATCCACGGTAAAAACATTGTCTGGATTTTGGATAACCTTCAGCTGGAGGCCGCTCGCGTCCTTATCAGGGCACTCAGCGTCGAGACTCACTCTGACCTCGGGCAGATAGTGTTTAGTGAATGTCACTTGGAAACATGTTGTTGGCGTAGACTTGAAGGTTGTACTGAAGTAAGTCTCCTTGGGGATAGCCGCGTCGACAGATCCAAGCATCACCACAACTAGCAACTTCATTGAGAAGGGTCGAATGTGCATGTGAGAGATTAACGAAGAGAGATACTCCTAAAGGGCGAGCCTAGTTCTCAACGAAAGTGGCACGCTTGCCTTGCAAAGGTTGAGTTCCCCCACAAGGCCACAATGTGAGGCAAACACCGGCAGTGTATAACGGTCAGGAATCTCAGCCGAGGTACCTGCGCGTATAATAAGAGCACTCTTTGACCTCGGCCTCACGGTACTTGGCGCAAGGTCGCTTCGATTGTATCTCAAGAATACCCTCACAACATAGCGCAAACGTAACTCTCAGCTCGTTTCAGTGCGTGTGAATCACGTGCGCTTTTGAATGCGTGGCCACCGGCCCGAACGTGTGCACTCCCGCGTGAGGCACCTGGCAGAGCCTACACACGGGCCTTCGACCCGCTTTTCATCATCGTGTAAACAGTCTAGGAGGTTGGGCCGAGCCGTAAGACCTTCATTCAACGCATCTTTATACGTGCTACGTAGACGTATAACGTAGACCGTGCAAGCACAAGGATCGGGGGTGGACGCGCTAATGCATTATTGTGTGAGGATATCAGGTCACTTAGTGAACGGCATTGAGATTTTCTGATTTTCCAAGAATTTCTTGGGTCCCGAGAAATTCTCCAGTCTTAAGTCTGAAACGGGCAGTGTAAGCTTAGTTTCGAGTGGATGGTAAGGAGAAAAAAATCGAAAATCGAAAACAATTGATCATCAATAAACTAAGGCGAAAGAAATTAGCACTGTTCCTAAAGGGAACGATGGAAGACTGAACAGTCCAGGGGGTAACGTGAGACACGAAGTTCAAGCTCACGCAACGTAGTGGCTTATAACCCAGTGGGCGATTCGTGCCAGACAAAAATTTTGTAGGTGCTCCACAAGCACAACCGGTGTCACCGATTCGGTGATACATGGCGCAGTTGCGCCGGAAATTTGTAGATGAAACTCATGAATTCTGCAACACAAATTCAAATTCGTCGAACACAGCTTCCGATCGCTCTTATGCTAGCGAAAGGTGCTCCGCTGGCATGCCGATCTCATCATTTTCCCATTTCCCTTATTTTCACGAAACCTTTCACTGTTAGTAGGACCAATTCCACTCGTGGTTCGTCATGATAGTCCACAAACACTAGCTTCCGACGAGAACTCCTCAAAAGAGCAAAAAGTTTGCTGGAAGTGTAATGATTAACCGGAGAATTCTAGAAATATTTCTCAGTCGAATTTTCCAGCCTCCCTGCAAGAGCATAATCATAACTATCATCGTTATGACTATAACTAAACGAATTGTCAGTGACAAACTGTCACCGTAAACACGAGCACACCAATCGTTACCAACCGTTATCACTGACAAACTATCAACTGACTTCGACAGTCGAAGTTCGACTCCTTTACCGCGATTAAGACCATAGCAACCATTCCCGCGATTATGACTACAACGACAACTTACAGCTTAGAATAAGCTGTTCATCCACAGTTTCATGCTAGCCTAAAGTGGAGATGGGGAAAAAGGGAGACACAAGCGACAGCGATCTTGCTACAACGGCAATACACCGAACACAAATGCTGAGACAGCATTGCTGACCGGCCCGTGACTCCGCCGTAATAGTCACCAATAATCTTTCGCAACGCGCGAAAAGGAATAGTCAGTGCGGCACCCACAACTAACTTTGTCTACTGCGTAAACATCATTCGTGATGGCATCCATGTGGGAATCATCGTGATCCCCGTTCATAGGGAGAACTCCAGCTACCATGCAGAAAGTAGCCATCGGCAATGACCCATCGCTGTCCAATGCCGCGAGCTAGTGTTTTACCGAACTCGAATCACGCGTTGCAAAAGAGGAGAGATTGATCGTCTGTAATAGTACAGGTCTGCGCGAGCATTAGCAAGATCGCGCGAATGCTCGAAGCTCGAGATGTTGAGGTCCATATGTGAATGTCATCTCGCCACAAACACTTGAAGCGGGACAAGTCAATGACATAGAACCAAAATTTCTCAGGAGTAGAGTCAAGATCACCACAGCCTCCTTGATGGCCATGCTCTGTCCAGGGCATTGGCGAGGCCCTCCACCAAATGCTAAATGATCACGTACACGGGCCTGGTCTATCGAGGAGCCGCCGGGGAGAAGCCAACGCTCAGGACTGAGATAGAAGGCAGGTTCAGGGATAGAGACTCCAGCATGAAGTAATGAACAACAGTGAAGACATACTCGAATGTTTTGCCTCCCTGCGCCTCTGCTATCATCGCTTTACGCAACAATGTTACCACACATGTCTCCGATGGGATTAGCTCACCGTGGAGCTCAGTGTCATGGGCGCATTTGAAGGAGAGCAATGTACCCGGAGGTTGTAACTGAGAAGGTACAGGAGTGCCACTTGTCAAGTAACCGAGGGCTCACCCTGAGGGTCTCAAGTATACAGCACCTGACACAGACTAGCTTGTCTATGTCCTCTTGAGTATTGGGATCATGCCCAAGGCCATCCACCTCGGCCCTGGCCTTGTCCTGTATTCCAGGGTATAGGGCCAGATAGTAGAGACACCAGGCGACAGTCATGGCGGTAGTGTCGCTACCAGCAATGAGGAACCTGATAATATGCAGCCAATGAACAGCGAAGCGCTACGACTCGGAATTCATACTGTCGCTGACTGGTTCAATTGTAGAATGCTAAATCAGAAGCAGTACTCACGTGATGAGGTTCCCTCGCAGGTCCACTTCATCGAGATGCATAAGCTTGTCTAACAAGTCACGCCTTTCCTCTCTTCCCCTTGCGTCTCGCTCCGCTCGGCGTTCGTCGATTATCTCATCACATATTTTGCTCAGCTGCTTCGCCCCAGAGTGCATCTAATAATGAGAATCGAGCGACGACTTTATCGTTGGGTGAGGTGTCTACCTTTTTGATCATCGGATTCAGATTCCACGGGAACCTATCCCGTGTCATCCATGGTATAGGATCGCGTGTCATAGCGTACCCTGACCCCGCCAGGAGATCATTGATGGCTAGGCGAAGCTTTCCAGACTGTCGTGCGAGAGCATTTCCTGTAACAGGGCACAACATAGCACACCGATACCGTGTTACTTGCCAGATCGCGTCGCACACTGTTGGCATCAGTTTTGAAAAGATACTCGATCGACTGAACTGTCATCACGGAAATGGAGTTTCATATGTATTAGTGGATCCTACCACCCTATGCGTTCCCCACGATCTATTATATCGGACGAGAATTCTTAACCTTTTGCTTGCGTGAGATCACTCGGTCGCGTTTGGGCTGGACTCGGACATCAAGACAGCTACGAGTCATAAGTTGTAACAGTTATAACTTATGACATAAGTTATAAATTATTGTAGATGCTCACCATCTGTGTTGAACAAGTTATAATCCTTTCCGAGAGTGGTGACACATAGAATATCCAAAGTGCAGAGGGGAAGCCATCCTGTGGGGCGCCATACGATGACACCATCTTGACTGAGGGACTTCAACTGTCGTATCTGCACACTGTGACGTAGAGGCAAGGGAGGGGAATCCAGACCTTACCAGCCTCAAGGCAACTTTGGACATATCGGGAATCATAGCCGATGAGTTGATATCGTTGAATGCCGGCGCACCCAATCGTCTGTTCCGCTTCCACACTTCACCCTCTGTAGTAAACATGCCCTCTATAGGTAAAATCTTGTCTCTATTGGACGGTCTAAAGTAGGTTCTCGGACGTGCATTCAGGACGTCTCGGATCAGTTCGGGATCGGAGACAACCAACACGTCACCGCCGAGGATTCTGAGAGAGACATCACCATTGCATCCGTATTGCCAACAGTATTCGAGTGAATCGGTCGACACGCGACCCCTTACTTAATGTGATACACGTCGCCATATGTGTCAGCGTAGATCTCAAGGGCGTGAAAGATATGATCAACAGACTTCGGTATGAAGCCGAGGAAAGGAATGAGCTACCCAAAGCCAGAAGGCATACAAGCATGATTAACTAAAGTGAAGCCCTAACCTCACATGATTTGGTCCACCAAAGAGTGCATGGAGGTCCACCCTGCTACGCTGCATGAGCTTAAGAGCCTTCAAGGCGATCAGTGAGGCCACACCAGTGACGATGATTAGAGAGCTGTGCGACCGGAAGAGCGATCGGCACTTCACAATGAGGTCCTGCACACCATGGAGGACGGGTTCCATTTGATATCACAAGATCAATTCGCTCAAGGCTGTAACGGCTGGTTGATCTCATAACAAACCCGAGCAAATTTCCTCAGTGCTCATGGCGATCGAGATGGAAGGGTTCCACAACCAACTGTTGCTTCGTTCTTCCGGCCTCTTGTACTACCAATGACGAGCGCATGCGTACATTACGCAGCGTACTGATTATCAGGCCTATCATAGGCAACTTGCTCAAGGCAGATTTGGTATCGCACACATATGCATCATCAAGCTATGTGTTTAACACAGTGTGTTAGCGTGACAGATCAATGAACTAATTTGCAGCCTGTTTAGACGATTTGGTTCGGGCCTGTACGAGTCCTCCTCATAAATGTAAGAGTTCATATCTGACCTCTTGTACGACCCACGCCTGATACTGGCATTAAAACGTGAAATGGATCCGCCGGCGAAGTCCTCAACTAGTGGGTAACGCAATATCCCAAGAAGCTCAGTATGATACAGGTCTACTTCCTCGCGGGTGGGACCGGCTTACGATATGGTGGTAAGCGGATAGCGGAACCATCACGCTGTGCAAGTCTGTGATTGATGCACGACTCGTGCACCCTGGCCGGAGGCTTCACGCAAGCGCATGAATATTTCCGCGCAAAGACTCAGGGACAAGCGCAAACAGAGTCTGTTTGCAGTGAGTACAGTCTGTTTAACAGACTGTACTCACATGGGCGATTGCAGGCGGTCTACGCAACGGGGTACAGTTCATCCCATTACAAGCCGACTTGTCCTTGTGACAAGCGGAACCGCAGAATTATGAGGTGATCATCGAGGGAAAGAAGGTATGAACCGATGTATTCGATCAACAGAACTTCTGTTCTATGCATTTCTACCCCGCCGTTCATGAAGTGCGTTCCAAGGACTCGTTCGTAGTTTGACGATCCGTCTATTAAACATCCTCTCGGTTAATGTTCAGTTCTACGTTGAAACATGATTTCCACCAACCCTCATCTCGGGTCGCCATTCCTCAAATTGAGGACCTCAATGGATGACTGCCCTCTCCAACGGCAAAGTTCAACAACGACATGGTTCTATTAACTTCCATCAATGTGCACCAGACTGACATCAGGGGATGCCTTTTGCGTATACTTCCACCGCTCTTCTCCAAATCCGACATCCCATTGAAGGGATGATATCGGCAAGACAAGCATAATGATGAAGCTTGGTAGCGTCACGGCATGGCGCTTCTACGCGTGGCACTCAGTCGAACACTGATCCTGATTGACTCGACCCGACGGACGTAGGCATTGCTAATGCCGCACTGGCTCAGCGATTGGCGCTGCAGAATTTATTCCCGCATTATCATCATCCTTCCAAGTCCATGACGAGGAATTCCCGGTGCTTTTGGACTCTTTAACTACTCTTGAAGAGACGTTCCCCGATAAGTCCAGCATTTAGGATGATGCCCTTGCATCTACACAGTGATTATCTCTGCACTGTTCGCAATTTGTATCATGTGACTAGTAGTGTAATACGAAGAAAATGTATTGATCTTGGTAGTCACTGACTACCAAGATCAATGCATTCCAAGTCCACAAGACACGCGCCACGCCAATTTGCTGAAAAGTCGACAATACAATAAGTAACTTCTTGCCCTTCTCAGCTTCCCCTTGCCGCTCATTCCATTCTTCCATGATCGCGACTATGACTACTTTGTTGCCAGGGATCTATCGGCACAGCTCAGCCAAGTCACTCAAGATTATGCGTTCAGACTTATCTCGGCCGTTTCACACCTTGGATACTCTCTCGTGCTGCCCACACTCGGACCACCACGAATAGGATCAGCACGATCGAAGAAGGATCCTTGGTGATCCATTTCTGAATACCAGCGAGGTCCAGCTTTCTCAACAATGTACGAACTGAACCAATCTCAAGCACACCTCCGATTATCAATTATCACCGACCAAAAGGAGCACAAGCGCGCGGCGAACAGCAAATCTCATACATATATCGAGTTTTTGTCCTGCTGAAAGCCTCACGTCTTCATGAGTTTTCCTTTATTGTTACCCTAGTAAGGAACGTATACCGCAATCGTCTGCTAAGAGCATTTTAGTTTCTAGGATTGCGCACCATGGTCGTTTATTTATCACTCACGGGACGCACTTGTGGTATTTCTGGTGTTGTTAGTCACTGCCAAGTTTCAGAGTGGAGACGAAATCCGCCGCTTCTCACGACTAACACAACAATCGGAATCAAGACCGTGAAACAGTACAGTGATAGGAAACTCCAAACTGATGCGACCGAGCGCACATGTGACCATTATATTCAAGCCAGACAGGAAAGCTCACAAAGCCAACCTTGTAACCGGGTCAATCTTAGATAATAAAAAATTGAAGTTCTTTGAGACAGCAGTGGTTATAGCAAGCTAGCAGCGAAAGACAAGTTATAATACGACTATAGCGAAATTGATAATAATAAGCGACATGGTTTAGCACGATGGGATCACACGTCCCAAGAGAATGTGCGGCGGCGCGGCAGGTCCAGGTGACAGAGCTCCACGGACCGATTCGTCTGGGAGCGTACTACAAGCTCAACACAAGACCCCAAAGACACATTCACTGCTTCTACATTTGGGTCTCCCGAGACGGTCGCCGAACGTTCTGACAGCATGAGATGAAATAACTCTTCTAAACGATGAGGGGCCGACTCGACATAGAAAGGAGACAGCATCAAGTTTGTGCACCACCAACCTCACTGCTGCAAAGTATGTACTTGCTTTCCTCAGCTGAGCTCAATAGTTTCCTCATCAATCATAGGAGTTCATACACGAATCGAGAAAAAATACAAGTGGACAGAAATTCTCCAAAATTTCCTCAGAGTTTAGATATTGTCACCAGCACTTGTGGGTGATTTTGTGCAAATTTTACCACACTGACCAACCCACCTCGTAATTCAGTAGATTCATCGCTCATCGTTGGAGGATCAGGAGACTCGCAGCTCTTCTTTTCTCTCTCCACGACAAAGGAATGATACTCAGGACCAGCAAGAGCCTTCACTGAGCGATACCTGAACACAAACATGGCAACACGGCGAGTCACGCATAAGCCTACCCTAACACTGAGATATCTGTGTACAACAACGTTACCAAACGTACTGATGACGGCATCAGTCTGACAATCGACTCAACGAGAAGAGGTCCAGAGGCCGGCATCTGAGCAGCGGATCACCCACGTTCAATTCCGGGCGAGTGTATTTATTCCCTGACTACCCCAAGCTTAGCCTTCCTTATTTCCACAGTGTTCAACTTGTCCAGAGTTTCCCTGCACACTCGACTCAGCGCAGTGACGTCATTCGGCGTCACACCACAACCGCGGCTCAACGTGAGAGCTTCCACCATGGGGCACAGACGGAGCAACGCCCTGAGGTTATCCGCTTGCAGCGAGGACGACGCCGACGTGTCTACAACACTCAAACGCCTCACGTTACACCTGACACAACACGTTTGTCGAGCTTCCCAGCAAATACGGCTCTCAATCATCGCAGCTGACAAACGAGTTTGTAGCGGAGCGGTTAAGCAACGCGTTGTAAACCAAGAGATCCCGGGTTCGAAACAACCAATTACCCTTCGAAAGCCCATCACAGTTCGCATAAATTCTCCCGAAGATTTCAACATCAACTCACCATCATTTCTCAGACAAAACTAGGAGGA